GCCTGCAACCCACTGTACTCTTCTTGATGACTTGATTGCTCCGCCCAAGGCCTGTGGCTTTTGAGGGGCCCAGTACGTAATGAGTGAAAGGGTTCATCTGGTAGTCCTTTCTGCTAACCTTGGTTTCATCTGGATCTGGACCTTAAATGTTGACCAGAATCCTTTTCCCTGTGTATGAGTAGCCTTCAGTAGCAGCTCCTGTTCTGAACCAGGGATTTGAACCAGTTCAAAACCCTGATGAGAATTTGCATTTCCAACCCAGATATACTGAATCAGAATCTACAGTTTAACAAGATCTCCAGGTGATTCTTACGTATAATAAATTTTGAGAACCACTGCTATACTAGTTCTCAGCACTGGTCCCTAACCAGCAGCATTAGCATCACCTGGGGATCTTGTTAGAAATGCACATTCTCAGCAGGGGTTTGAACTGGAAGGAACTGATTCTAAGCCATGATCTGAACTGATAGCCTGTTGCTTTTCTTTGATGGCATCATCAGCAGATGTGAGGGAGTTTAAAGCATTAAAAAAAAAAGAAAGCCAGTGAGGGCACCCCCCCCCCGCCCCCCTACCTGCCTATTGGTCTTGAGGGTAGGGCTTTTTTGCTGAGTTTGTGTTTGTGTTTGAGTACCAGGGCCCCTCAGTGTAGCTGCAGGTTCCTGGGGTCACCACAAAGCATAGACACACTCTTGCCCTTGACTTTGCAGGTTGGAAGAGGCAGTTAGATGAGTGAGGACCATGGGCCAAGAAGCCAGTCCAGAGGAGGTGGCTGTGCTGTCTGCCACACATAGCTACTTCCTTCTCCATAATTGTGCTTACTCTCCTCCCTGAACGCCTCATTCCTTTTGGCCCTGCTTTTCCTAGCATCTCCATTTCCCAGAGTGCCTTTAAATAAGAAAATAGAGTTGGGATGGACAAGCAGCCCCTCCACACACACACACTGCACATCAAACCTAATCTAATTATTTCGTAAATGACCCTTTCCACCCTCTCTCCCACCCAGTCCTTGTACTGAACCCTACTGGAAAGTATTTAAATCCTAAAGAAATTTGTGATTTTTCAAAGAGAAACCTGGTACTGTGCCTCACTGCCTTGGGTCTGCTCTGGTTTTTCCATTATTTGAAGGATAACAGCAGGAAGGTCCAGTGTTTCTTTTATTGGTACCAGGCAGAGTTGCCTTTGGGTGCATCTCTTTCACTCCAGCCTGTTGTAGGAAGCATGAGGCAGTAAGAGGATCCTACTAATTTGCGCAGTATGAGAGATGCCTCCTAGGAGGCCCAGGCAGTGATGTGGGAAAGGGTATAGGAACTTGTTTATTCAGCAGAAGAGTTTCACCTCCTAATACCAGGTCAGAAATTCTCAATGCTGATGGTTCTCCAAAATCACCTGTAGAATTAAAAATGCAGATGCCTGGGTCTTCCCCCGCCAGACTTCGGATTTAGTAGATCTGGAATGGGATCTGGAAGGCTGTATTTCTTTAAAGCTCCACAGGAGTTTTTGATGCCCAGCCAAGGCTTAACACAACTCGAAGGCACTGGGCTCTGAAAATGGAATGAGCCCCATTTTGCCCTCCCATCCTCAGCCCAGGTCAGGGAGAGAAAACAGGGAAACAAGCAGGTGTAATAATAGGCACCAAGGAGGGTTGCCCTGGAAGAATCAGGGAGGGCTTCCTAAAGAGGACACATTGCTGGAAGAGTAGGGTACCCCAGGCAGTGTGCCTACCCCAGGAGTGGTTGCTTGAGGTTAATGGTAGTGGGTGGGGCAAGTGGGGTTGAGGCAGGAGAAGCCAGCAGACCCCGGGAAGGGCCTCTGGGATTGTACTTGGAAGTCTCTACTCTCAAACCACTGAAGGGTCAACAGGAAACGGAAAGAGAGAATAGGGTCTGTTAATGGAGTTTGATTTAATTCATTTCCAGTTTTAATAGTTTCTAGATTTGACATTTTTGTTGTTAATTGTAGAGTAACTTTGTTTTTCTTTTCTACCAAGTGTTTAGTTTTCAGTCTGTTAGTCCTCTAACTCTAAACCAGACCCACATGGTGGTTTTATTGGTCTCATCCCAGTTGCAGGCCAGATTAGAGGCACGAGGCTAGCTGGGCACTGTTTGTTAATAATCACTTAACCTCTCTAAGTTTGTTTCTCCCACTATAAAATGGACATAATAATGCCCATCTCACAGGGTGCTGAGAGGCCTGGTTAAGAGAATGTATATGGAAAAGCTTTAGAAACTGTAAAATTGTTCTTCAGATGTATAGGATTATGATATTCTGGGGACATGTTTATTTTATCTGACTAGCATTACTGGTGATTGGAATGCGAAAATTGGAAACAAGAAGAAGGATCAGTAGTTTGAAAAGATAGCCTTGGTGATAGAAATGATGCAGGAGATCACATGATAAAATTTTGCAAGACCAATGGATTCTTCATTGTAAATACATTTTTCAGCAACATAAACGGCAACTCTACATGTGGACCTCGCTGGATGGGATACACTGGAATACACAGGAATCAGATAGACTACATCTATGGAAAGAGACTATGGAGAAGTTCAATATGTGATGATATTGAAGCTCAGTATCAGAACAAGGCCAGGGGCCAACTTCAGAACAGACCGTCAACTGCTCATATGCAAGTTCAAGCTGAAGCTGAAGAAAATTAAAACAAGTCTACGAAAGCCAAAATATGACCTTGAGTGCATCCCACCTGAATTTAGAGACCATATCAAGAATAGATTTGATGCATTGAATATTGATGACCAAAGACCAGATGAGTTGTGGGATGACATCAAGGACATTATACATAAAGCAAAAGGTCATTAAAAAGACAGGAGGAAAGAAAAGACCAAAATAGATGTCCGAAGAGACTCTGAAACTTGCTCTTGAATGTAGGGCAGCTAAATAAAATGGAAGAAATGAAGTAAAAGAGCTGAAAAGAAGATTTCAAAGGGCAGCTTGAGAAGTAAAAGTAAAATATAGTGAAATGTGCAAAGACCTGGAGTTAGAAAACCAAAAGAGAAGAACACGCTCAGCATTTCTCAGGCTGAAGAACTGAAGAAAAAACTCAAGCCTCGAGTTGCATTATTGAAGGATTCTATGGCCAAAATATTGAATGACACAAGAAACATCAAAAGAAGATGGAAGGAATACACAGAGTTACTGTATCAAAAAGAATTGGTTGACATTCAACATGATATGATGAAGAACCAATGGTATTGAAGGAAGAAATCCAACCTGAGCTGAAGGCACTGGCGAAAATCAAGGCTTCAGGAATTGACGGAATACCAGTTGAGATGTTTCAGCAAACAGCTACAGCATTGGAGGCTCTCACTTGTCTGTGCCAAGAAATTTGGAAGAGAGCTACCTGGCCAGCCGCCTGGAAGAATTCCATATTTGTGCCCATTCCAAAGACAGGTGATCTAACAGAATGTGGAAATTATCAAACAATATCGTTAATATCACACATAAGTAAAATTTTGCTGAAGATCATTCAAAAGCAGTTGAAATAGTACATCCACAGGGAACTGCCAGAAATTCAAGCCGGAATCAGAAGAGGACATGAAATGAGAGCTATCGTTGCTGATGTCAGTTGGATCTTGGCTGAAAGCAGAGAATACTAGAAAGATGTTTACCTATGTTTTATAGACTAAGCGAAGACATTCGACTATGTGGATCATAACAAATTACAGAAAATATTGTGAAGAATAGGAATTCCAGAACACTTAGTTGTGCTCCTGCAGAACCTGTACATAGATTAAAAGGCAGTTGTTCAGACAGAACAAGGGGATACTGCTTGGTTTAAAATCAGGAAAGGTGTGCATCAGGGTTGTATCCTTTCACCATACTTAATTCAATCTGTATGCTGAACAAATAATCCGAGAAGCCAGAGTGTTTGAAGAAGAACTCAGTATTACAATTGGAGGAAGACTCATTAACAACCTGCAGTATGCAGATGACACAACCTTGCTTGCAGAAGGCAAAGAGGACTTCAAGCCCTTACTGAGGAAGATCAGTATGGATTACACCTCAACATAAAATAAAAATTCTCACAACTGGACCAATAAGCAACGTCTTGGTAAACAGAGAAAATACTGAAGTTGTGAAGAATTTCCTTTTACTTGGATCCACAATCAACACCCATGGAAGCAGCAGTCAGGAAATCAAATGACACGTTGCATTGGGCAAGTCTACTGCAAAATACCTTTTCAAAGTGTAAAAAACCAAAGATGTCACTTTAGGACTAAGGTGCATCTGACCCAAGCCATGGTATTTTCTGTCGCCTCATATGCATACAAAAGCTGGGCAATGAATAAGGAAGACCAAAGAAGAATTGATGCCTCTGAATTGTGGAGTTGGTGAAGAATATTGAATATACCATGAAGTGCCAGAAGAATGAAAATCAGTCATGGAGGAAGTACAACGAGAGTGTTCTTAGAAGCGAGGATGGTTAGACTTCATTTCACGTACATTGTACATGTTATCAGGAGGAACCAGTCTCTGGAGAAGGACATCATGCTTGGTAAAGTAGAGGGTCAGCGAAAAAGAGGAAGGCCCTCAATGAGATGGATTGACAGAGTGGCTGCAACAATGGGCTCAAGCGTAACAATCATTGTGAGGATGGCGCAGGACCCGGCAGTGTTTCATTCTGTTGTACAAAGGATCGCTATAAGTCGAAACCGACTCAGTGGTACCTAACAACAACAATAACAGCGTTGTTTGAGGTTATTGTCTACGCTGGTGTCTCAAAACACCTGCTCTAGGGAGCAAAAAGTCTTTTAACTAGTGATAGACATCTCCAGCCCCTCTTTCCTAATTTTGCTTACGGTGCAAAGTTAAAAGCCATAAAACTAGGGAAGAGTTTACTTTATGCAGACTTACTTGCTGCTGAGGCAGGGAGCAGCTTCTGGTCTCCCAGGACATTTTCTTTCCCAGTATTACCATAGCTGTACTGCTATGGGTTGCTGTGGATATCAAGATCCATTTAATATTCCAGTTTTTGTTTGCAGGCTCAATGTCAGACCAGGAACTGGAGATGTCCGGTCTCGTGTGGGGATCCAACAGAGCCTTCTCAGCCCCCCAGCACGCACAGCCACCTTCCAGCAGAGATTTGATGCCCGTCAGAAGATCGGCCTCTCAGATGCCCGGCTCAAGCTGGGAGTCAAGGATGCCCGGGAGAAGCTTTTGCAGAAAGATGCCCGGTTTCGGATCAAAGGGAAAGTGCAGGATGCCAGAGAGATGCTAAACTCCCGCAAGCAGCAGAGCACGGTGCCCCAGAAGCCACGCCAGGTAGCTGATGCCCGGGAGAAGATCAGCTTGAAGCGAAATTCCCCTGCTGCCTTCATGAGCCCACCCATCGGGACAGTGACCCCTGCGCTAAAGCTCACCAAAACCATCCAGGTAGGTTAAGGCTTTTGTCATAAATTCCCAGATAGCCAGTGACAAGCATAGATTTAGACAGGAAGCAGGAGCCAGGAGTGTTTGGGCAAAAATGACAATTCCCCCAAGTGTTAGTATAGCCCTTAGCTGCCTACAAAGGCCTTTTATGTATGTTATATCCAAGTACCCATATGAAGAGGGCAAGGTATTATCTCAGTTTTATGTAGAAGAAACTGGTGATCCAGAGAAATTAAGTGACTTTCCCAAGTGAGATAGTGGTGGAAGGAAGAGAACGGAAAGAGTAGAACGTTTGTTGAGCATGTGATGTGTGGCAGCACTTGACATAAATTGTTTATTTTTCATTGCAACCATAGGATTATTACCTTTTTTATAAAAGAAGAATCTGAGTCTCAGTTGGCTGTTGTTAGTTGCCACTGAGTCGATTCTGACTTGTGGCGACCCCATGTATTCAGAGTAGAACTGTGCTCCATAGGGTTTTCAAAGCTGTGACCTTTTGGAAGCAGATCGGCAGGCCTGTTTCCAAGATGCCTCTGGCTGGGTTTGAACCGCCAACCTTTCGGCCAGTAGTTGAGCACCTGTTTGTGCCACCCAGGGACTCCTCTGAGGCTCAGAGATGTTAAATATTGTGCCCAACGTTACACAGCTGTCCGTGGGAGAAGACAGGGTGGAGCTCAGTTAGATCTCCTGGTTCCTAGTCCAGTGCCCCATTCACCCTACCACAGCCGCCACCCTGGAGGGAAGGCAAACAGAATCATTTAATCTTCACAGCAACCTTGGTAACAGTAATGGGCTCATTGAGTCCTCCACATGCATTATTGCAGACTATGGGATGACAATTTTCCCTCACTTTCCTGCTTTGGGGGGTGAGACACTCTTTGTGTAACGCCTCTTACCAAAGACCAAAACTGGGTGCCCTCCATATTTCGAGTTCAGTGTTCTGCTCATAGGGAACGCCTGTGGACCCTGTGGAATGAATTATGACCACTGGGTGTTTCTAGGTTCCACAGCCAAAGGCCATGGTACCACTTCATGCCCATCCTGCTGGAATGAGGATCAACGTTGTCAATAACCACCAGGCCAAACAGGTAGGGTGTGTGTGTGCGTGTATGTGTGTGTATGTACGTACGTGTATGTACGTACGCACACACGCATGTGCACAGGTTAGGTGTACTAGATCCATTGACTGAGGCCTGGCCCAAAGTTCCCATTGAAGTGTTAGAGGAGGAGTTACGTTTGACTGTTTGCAATTGATGTGTTTTAAGAAGAAACCTCTTAATGGATGAGGGAAGGGCATCAGGGGCAGAAAGGCAAATTGAAAGCCTATTAATTTTTTTATTATAAAAATAGTATGTGTTTAATACCGAAAATTTGCAAAATAGAGATTAAGAAAAGAAGTCCCTCATGCTCTTATTCTCCAAAGGCAACCACCGTTGAAATTTTGACATATTTCCTTTGTTTTTTTAAGTGTCGTTATTTAATGCATAGTTGTGATTGTATTCTTATCCAGTTTTGTCTTTTTTCACTTTATAACTCAAGCATATTTTTTGATATTTCACACTTACTGTAAATGTTTTTAATAACTGCATGATCCATTGAGTTGATGTTCTACAGTTTATTTAAACAATTTTTCTGTAATTTTAACTCTTAGAAATCTTTCTGCTATGAATGTCTTTGTTGATAAGTCTCTTTCTAGATGTGGATTTATTTCAATAGGCCAAATTCCCTAGGGTGGACTTTCCAAGCCAAAGGTTTTAAACAAATATTTTGAGGACTTGTGATAGATATTGCCCACTTGTAAAAAGGTACTTCTGATAGAGCTGGAAGTTGGAGTACTTTTAGCAGAGCCTTGCAGCAGGGAATCAGCCTGTCAGGATTCAAACCCCGGCCTCTGAGGCCCGTCTCCCCAGGCACCTCCCGCTGTCCCCGCTTCTCCCTTGATCCTTTGCCACAACAGGAGTTGTCTCCCTGCTATAGTTTTCTAGATGGCTGTCGAGGGCCTTGCCCAGGGCACAGGTCGCATTGAGTGCTCTGAGTGCTTTTGGACAAAGATGCCATGTTAGCTGCCTTTTTTTTTTTATTCTCAGAATTTATACGACCTGGATGAAGATGATGATGTTACAGCTCCCATTCCTAGTAAACAGATGAAATTCACAGCCTCAGGCAGCTTTCTCCACCACATGGTATGGCATTTTATTTTATTTATTTATTTAAAATTTTTTATTGTGGTCAAATATGCATAACAAAACATTTGCGATTTCAGCCAGCATTTTATGTTTTTCTACCCTTGCTCTGTGTGTCATCAGGTGGATGGGAGAGGTTGTGGAGCATAGGGCTTTCAATTCAAAAATATTTCTTCATCTGGGTCATAACATTTTCAGAACTGGAACTAGTCCCACCCCTTGTTTTTGTAAATGCTGAGACTGGGATGTCCAGTGACTTGTTCAGGGCACCACAGCTAGTAAAGTGCAAAGCTGTAGGTCCCAGTTGCTGTGTGCAAGACACTGCAGGGAAAATAAGAGTAATCCCACATAAGGGAATCCCGTTTTCCTTCCTTTGTGGCAGGACAGGCCGCATGCTCCCAGTCCTCATGGTCAGCAGCTCTGCCCCATTCTTTGATCCCAGATTCCCTTGGTTGGTAGGTTAGCACAAATAGGCCACACTTCCCTGGGGGCTGCTCTTCCAGGCGCTGCCTGTGTGTGGTGAAAGCTTGTTAGGCCAAGGTGCTGGTCTGATGCAGTGGAAAGAAAGCAACATCTGGGAGCATCTTGGAGGGCTGCTGAGTGGATATTGCCAGCTAGAGATGGGGGCTACCACATTTTGCTTCAGAGGCCCAAAGACTCTGTTTTGGTCACTGCACTGAGTGGACCAATCTCCCAGTTACTGATGAAGCTCTTAAAGTGATATCTGAAGCTGAATGGCACTAGTTATTTCTTTACAAAGGCTAGGCCTTTCCAATAATTAGACTGCTCAGGTTGGCTACCAAGAGGTCTGTCAGCTGGGCTCAATTAGTGGCTAATGCTAATTGAGAAAGTTCTAAACACTTTATATTAATTCATGTAAGACGTCCCCCCCCCCCATTCCCCCACCCTGTGAGATGGGTACTGTTGTTATTCCCATTTTACGGATGAGTCAGGCACAGAGAGGTTAAATAATCCTGCCTCTGTCACCCAGATTGTAAGTAGTGGATCCAGGATTCGCGCCTAAGCCATCTGGCTCCGGGGCCCACATGTTTAAGTGCTATACCATACTGCCTCCCAAAACTCAGAAAGAGGCTTGAGAATGTTGAATCCAGCGTGGGGAGGATGTTTCATCCAGATTTGGAGAAGCGTGATGGATTGACCCACCCCCATACTCTGATCTGTCTCTCTGGCTGCTGTATTTTTTTCCTGGGTTATCACTCGGTAAACACTGCCCTAAACTGGCATGACCATCTGCCGCTTCTGCTTCACTCGTCTTTTTCCTCAGACACATTAATGCAAAGGAGTTTACTGGTTTTTCTTCCTAAGGGACCTCATCCCAGGTTGGGGAAGAGGGCTATTTCTGATGGTCTGCAAGTGCTGGCTGTGCTGGCTTACCCCCGACAGTCTGGGAGCTGACAAGGCAGGCGATCTCTAGACCATGTGCACCCTGGCTGGCCTATGCACGGTGACTCTGTTTGGCTGTGCGTTCTAGGCCCTCTCAAGAGTGGGTTCCTATGCTCGGCCAGCCCAGAGCTGGTCGTCTGCCCACTGTGAAAGAAGTGTATCTGGGAATAAACTTGACCCCAAGCTTTTGGTCTTCTGACTAGCCCTAAATTGTTTTCATAAAGTCTAAATGGTATGGGTGAGCCTGTGGTTTCTGGGTGAGTTTCTAGATCAGGGTTATGTGGAAGCTTCTTGCCAAGAGCGTTAAACACTATGGAAAGCTGCTTCTGTGAGCACGTGCACAAGCTCTCTTTTCTTCCCCTCATCACCCTTTGGGTCCCCACGGGATGTCACTGGCAACAGGCAGCCTTTTTGGCTCCATGCCTCTGCTGGAATTGAGGCATTGAAGGTGGGTTATCAGTCATGCACTCAGCTGGTCGTCAGCCCCTCAGGGCTTCTTCAGAAGACTCTGAATCTCTGGCTTCTCAGATTCCTTTCTGCCTCTTTGTTTAGGCTGGGCTGAGCAGTTCCAAGCTGTCTGTGTCCAAGGCCCTCCCTCTCACCAAAGTGGTCCAGAATGATGCCTACACAGCTCCTGCTCTCCCCTCCTCTATTCGAACAAAAGCCTTGACCAACATGTCCCGGACACTGGTGAACAAGGAAGAATCTCCCAAAGAGCTGCCACCTGCTGAGGTGAGTTAAAAGCGAGGGAGAGGAAATGACCACAGTAGTTGAGAGTCAGCCTGTGCTGGGTGGGGCAGTGTGCTGGGACCTGAGTGTATACCCCGTTTGGTCCTCACAATGCTTCTGTGAGGTCAGTGTTGCCACTCGCATTTTACAGATGAGTAAACCAAGATCTTAGAGATCCCTTTCCTCAAAGAGCTTGCAGGCTTGTGGGGAAGATAGAGCTGCAGACAGATCCTTGTATCTAGTGATCCAGTAGAGGTCTACTCGGAAGAGAGCTCCTGGGAGCACTGAGGAAAAAGCATCTAATTCCACTAGCAAAATGGGGAGGCTTCAAGGAGAAAGTACCATTGGAGCTGTGTGGGTCTTGACACATGAGCAGCATTCCACGCAGAAGCTGAGAGGAGAGGCCTGAAAGGACCCAGAATAAAATGAGGAGTTCGCTTTCTTAGCCTAGGGTGGTGGGGGTGTGGTGGACTGAGGTCCCAGGGGCCCTCTTGTGATGGACCCTCCATGATTCTTTCCTCTGGGCCTCTGTGGTCACTTACCAGGAATGAGTTTTGTTTGTGTGAGCACACACCTGTTCTCTGATCTCTGGTAACGCTCTTGTCTGTGTGGCAGCCTGTCCTCAGCCCCCTGGAAGGCACCAAGATGACTGTGAATAATCTGCACCCTCGAGTCACTGAAGAGGACATTGTTGTGAGTACTGTGGCCTGCCAGAATTTTTAATCTCAAACTGCTTCTGTGTCCGGGGTTTCCAGCACCACCTCCAGCTTTGATGATCTGCTAAGGGGACTCACAGGACGCAGCATATAGTTGTACTCATGGCTAAGATTTATTACAGCAATAGGAAACAAAATCAGCCAAGGAAAAAGGCACATGGGTCAAAGTCCAGGGGAAACTAGGTGCATGCTTCCGGACTCCTCGCCCTCAGTGGAGGCATACTTAATTCCTCTGGCAACAAGTTGTGACAGCACATGTGAAATATTGTCTATCAGGGAAGCTCACTAGAGACTCAGTGCCCAGGGTTTTTATTGGGGGCTAGTCATGTAAGTGCCCTCTACCTAGCACTTACAAAATTCAGACACACATAAGGGAAATGAGTGTTCAGCATAAACCGTGTTGTTGGCACAAACAGTTTAAGCACAGTGAGCCACTCTTATCAATTCTGTGAATGGTGTGAACCCTCCTGAAATCTTAAGTTCCCAGATTCCAGCCAAGGGCCAACCTTGTAAGCAGGCTTTTCAGAGGACAGCAGTCAGGCCTGCTGTGTCAATACTAGCTGCATAGTTTCTTAACCAGTCCCAGGTACCTGGCTTGAATCTCAGGGTCAGGGCATGTCTGTGCTTGAATAAATCCAAAATGGGATCCTTTATTCTCACTGTGCAACATCCAGTGACTGAGATTTTCCTGCGAGGCTTCACAATTTCCTGCCTCCTTCGGAGGTTTTACATGATGATGCCAGAGTAAAAGGAATGAGATGAACTGGTGTTATCTGGTGGTTAGCTGGATCGCCCTCCTAGTCAGTCCTGTCTCACCCATGCCAGTTGTGGATGAAAGCTAACTCAGGTGCCTGTTGAAGGGGCCAGAAGCAGCCAAGACTTCCTTTTCAACCTCATTTTCACTCAGCCACCAAAAAGCCATGAGTTTAGAAATCCAGGCAACATTTTAACTCTGAACCGTCAGATCACAAAATGAATGCAGCTGGAGACTCCAGCCTCTCTCTCAGCCAGGTCCCAGGTTTTGTAAGAGCCCGCTGGTCACCATGCTTGTTAAAGGTTTTAATTGTGTGAGCTGAACAGGCTCAGCAGCGTCTTTTCTCTGTTAACAGGCATGCCAGTGAACAGTGCACGTGAGAAGGGAAATTGTAGCCTACTTTGTGTAATACTTGACACTTTATAAAGAACTAAACCAGATTTTCCCTGATTATATAAGTAATAACAGCTACCACTGATGAGCATGTACTATGTGCCAGACACTTTGTATGTAGAATTTTTAAAAATGCAGGATAGTGAAAACTAATCGTCTGTAATGATCACCATTCAGAGAAAATGCCAACGATAATCAGTCCTGCTTCTTTTCTATAGAAATATGTAATATTTAAACAACAACAATAAAATCAGGCTCTCACCTAGCATTCAGTTCCATATCTTGGTTTTGATGTTTTAACATTTTCCCCTTTATCATTAAAGCAAGTCCTTTCAAAGGCCTTTTCGTGAGCCTTCTCTTTGGTCCTCATCACAGCCTTGTGATGGGTAATTTGCAAAAGAAGAAATTTTTGGGTGCTAGTCACCCTCTGCCCTGACCAGGCTGTGTTCCCTCTCTGGCGTCAGTCTCTGTGTATGTAAAATGAGGACACCTGTGTACAAAACACTGCCTTATAAATTATCTCAGTTGCGCTCTTTTCAACAACCCTGGGAGGTAGGCTAGGCCAGCCCTTTTCTTCCTGTTTTCACAAGACAAAACTTGGCCTCAGAGAGCTTAGGTCTCTGGAGGTCACACAGCTGATAGGAGGCAGAGTCCCAGGGATTAAACCCAGGTCTGTCTGACTTGGGGTAATCAACTATCCTGGTTTGCCCAGGGACTGTCCCAGTTTTAGCACTGAAAGCCCCGTGTCCCAGGAAACCTCTCAATCCATGCAAACTGAGATAGTTAGTCACCCTGGGTAGAGCTCCAGAATTTGTATTTCTAACAAATTCCCATGTGATGTATTAGCCACTGTCTTTCTTTGATGAACCTATATTGTTGTTCTTATGCTAGAGCTCTCTGATCCTTATTGAGAGAGTGGGCACTGAGGCAGGAGGATTTTGGTGGTGACTTGCTGAAAGTCACAGGTACTCCAAGGCTTGTAAGTCCAGGCTCATTTCTCACTGCCAGCACAGCTTGTTCCCTTATCTGGTCCTGTGCTGAGGCCTGTGAGCATCCCCGGAACACTACTTAAAATGGAACCTGCTCAAAATCATTGGTGCTAGGCACGTGCAGCTGGGATGCAGCCACCAGCCAACCCGGAGCCCCCAGAGTGTGTGGATGGCAGGCAGTCAGGATGGCTGCCTGAAATTTTCTGCAACCCAACACCTCTTGTTCTTTGCAGGAGCTTTTCTGTGTGTGTGGAGCCCTCAAGCGGGCTCGGCTGGTCCATCCTGGGGTAGCAGAAGTGGTCTTTGTGAAGAAGGATGATGCCATCACAGCATATAAGAAGTACAACAACCGGTGTCTGGATGGTAAGTCGGAAAACGCAGCCACCTCACTCTGCTCACTGGCAAGCAGCAGGCCTTCAGGAGCAAGCCCTCCTCTGAGATGGGTGGGAGGTCCCATCACCTCTCTGGGGGTTCCCATTGCACCAAGAGCAGGCACGTTTGCTCAGTCTCTGGAGAGTGCTGAATTGTGAGTTCCACAGGACTTTTTTCACCCAGCTCCAGCTAGAAGGAAAATGCCATTTCTCCATGAATGCCTCTCTTAAAGGGTCTTGTCTGGGAAGTATAGGAGCCACAGCCTTCCCCTTCCAGATGGTGGTCTACTTACTGCCAAATTACAGGTTCCTCAAAGGCAGAGGGCTTGCTTTAAATGTTGGTACGTTTGTGATACATGTTTTTCTATTCTTTGTACTTTCAGCCTTCTGACATCTTTGAATCTGAAGTATATCTATAGACAGCATGTAGTTGGATCTGTTGTTTTTTAAATCCATTCTGACAATCTTTTAATAGGATTATTTAATCCATTCACATTTGGTGTTATTATTGATAATGTTGTTGTTAGGTGCTGTCAAGTCAGTTCCGACTCATAGCGACCCTATGTACAACAGAATGAAACGCTGCCCGGTCCTGAGCCATCTTCATAATCGTTGTTATGCTTTTTTATTATTGATAATAGTTGAATTTATGTCTGCCAGTTTATTTTTTCTTTTCTATGTCTTAACATCTTTTTATTCCTCTACTCCTCTGTTATGGCTTTCTTTTGCATTACAGGAATATTTTCTAGAGTAACATTTTAATTCTGTAAAAAAGGTGCGGCAGTGGTGTCTGGTCTCCTCTGACTTCACAAGGAGGAAGGAGAATCAAGATCAACAGCCCAAGGCTGATTACTGTGAGGTGGAGGTCAGACATACTTCCTCTCTCCACCATCTTCACCAATTCTGACACCAGCTGTCCCTCCCATGGCATTCTTTACTTCTCTGCTGAGTTGAACAGTTCATTGCAAGTGGCCACACAGAACTCACAGCCAGTACTCATAATTATGGGGTTTATTAGGAAAGTAACAGGTTACAATTCATGTTCAGGAACGCACGGGATACATTTCTTCCATCAGGATAGCCTCTTCTCAGCCATGCCCACAGGCATGCCTCTCTCTGGCCCCTCAGCCTCTGTCCTGCTCTGGCAAGTGTTTCAGAGCTCTTTTAGCTCTATAGATAAATGCGCAAGGCACCCCACTCCGCCAGTAAGCTCGGCCCAAAGGTGCTTAAACCTAGCTCCTCCGAGTGCCTGGAAGCACCCTGCTCCGCCAGCAAGCCTCCTGCCCGGAAGTACTCAGCTCCTACCGATCTCCTCCCTCTGCTGATGCTGTTTCTCTGCCACCACTTCTGGCTGTTTACAGTGTTAGAGCTCTTTCTCTCTCATCTCCTGGTTCCAGGAGCTTCTCAGCGCAGTGATCCTTGGGTCCAAAGGACAAGCTCTGGTCCTAGCTCTTCTTCCTTGATGGTGGTGAGATCCTCTCTTTCCGTCTCTGGGATGGCTCAGTTTAATCCTAGTGGGATAGCAGAACTGACCAGTCCCTTCGTTAGGGTTCCATATACCTTATTTGCATGGGTCACCCAATCAACTTGAGTTACGAGACTGTGGTAAGAAAGGTCATATAAAAGCAGATCCATCACACTGCGAATTCCTTCAATTTTTTTTACTTTATTAATTGAGTCATTTTTTTTTATAGTGATTACTTAAGGACTTAGACAACATACCTCTTAATTTATCAGAATCTACTTCAGATTTATACCAGCTTAATTCCAGTGAGATGCAGAAACATTACCTCTATATAGCTCTTTTCTAATCTCTTTCTTCCTTTTTGGTGCCACTGTTACACGTACCACGTTTATGTTACAGACATAACAATACGTTTTTATAATTATTACTTTATATAATCATATGCCCTTTAAAGAAGCTGAGAGAATAAAGGGGAGCAAATATATATTTACAGAGTTTTTTATATTAAACTTCTGATTTACAATTTCTTGTTCTCTTCATTTGTTCCTGTGGATTCAAGTTATTATCTGGTGTCATTTCCTTACTCCCATGCAGCTTTGCCCCCATGCACCTTCTTTGTGCTGTTATTGTGAAATATATTACGTTTCTGTATGCTGTAGGCCCAAAAATACTATTATATACATGTTGTTCATAGAATTGCCTTTTTAAATCAGTTAAGAGAAGGAAACAGAAGAAATATGCCTTTATTATCTTTTTTATAATTGCATAATTACTTTTACTGGTGCTCATATTATTGTCTGGGTCACTTGCTTACAGCCTGAAGAACTTTCTGTGGTATTTCTTGTAAGACAGATCTGCTAGCTACAAATTCTCTTAGTTTTTGTTTATCTGGGAATGTCTTTATTTTGCTTTCATTTTTGAAAGATCATTTTGTTGTATATAAAATTCTTGGTTGACGGTTTGTTTCTCCCAGAACTTTGAATATGTCATACCACTGCTCTTGACCTCCATTGTTTCTAATAAGAAGTTAGCTGTTCATCTTATTGGAGTTTCCTTAAACCGTTTTTCTCTTGCTACTTTCAAGATTTTTTGCCTTTTCCCATTTTTACTATGTTGTGCCTGTGTGTGGTTCTCTTTGTGTTTATCGTGCTTGAAATTCATTGAGCTCCATAGATGTGTAGATTAATTTCTCATCAAATTCGGGAAGTTTTTAGCCATTATTTCTTCTAATATTTTTTTATGTTCCTTTCTCCCTCCTCTCCTCCTTTTTTTATTCCCAGTATGCATATGTTGGTGTGCTTAATGGTATCACACATTTCTCTGAGGCTCTGTTCATTTTCTTCATTCTTTTTCTTTATGTTCTTTGGACTGGATAATCTCTTATCAATTTATTTCCAAGTTGTTATTTTTAACAGTTCAGATCTACTGTTGAGCGCCTCTATGAATTTTTCATTTAGTTATTGTAATTTTCACCTCCAGGGTTTACATATGGTTCTTTCGTATTATTTCTCTATCTATATTGATGTTTTCTACTTGATGAGACATTGTTGTACCTTCCCTTACTTTAAGCATGGTTTCTTTTAGTTGGAGCATATGTTTAATGGCTGCTGTGAAATCTCAGTTAATTCCTACATCTGGGCCCTGCCACAGGCAGTTTCTGTTGCTTGCTCGTTTTTCACTGTCTGGGTCGCACTTTTCTGTTTCTTTGCATGTTTTGAAATTTTTTTGTTGGAAGCTGGATGTTTTAGATGCTGTATTATAGCGACTCTGGATGCTAACTCCCAAACCCCTTCTGGGACTGGTTCTTGTTTTTGTTTGCTTGTTTATTTGTTAGTGACTTGGCTGCACTATTTCACTGAAATCTATTTCCCTCACAGCTTGCAACTTCTGATGTCCCTCAGAAGATGCAGCCTTGGGCACATGCACAGTCACCCTTGGATGACACGGCGTTAACAGAGCTCGCGCTGTCTCTTTTCTCTTTTCTCTGTATTAAGCTGTTAAACCATATTGGTGTCACATCTAGCTGTTGTTGTGTGCCATCAAGTCCCACTCATAGCAACCCTGTTGGACAGAGTAGAACTGCCCCATGGGATTTCCCGGGCGGAAAGTGAAGAAGACTTGAAGCACTTAGTGATGAAGATCAAAGACTACATATGGATTACACCTCAACATAAAGAAAACAAAAATCCTCACAACTGGACCAATAAGCAACATAATGATAAACAAAAAATATTTAAGTTGTCAAGGATTTCGTTTTATTTGGATCCACAGTTAACGCCTGTGGAAGCAGCAGTCAAGAAATCAAACGATGTATTGCATTGGGCAGATCTGCTGCAAAAGACCTCTTTAAAGTGTTAAAAAAGCAAAGATGCCACTTTGAGCACTAAGGCGCCCCTAACCCAAGCCATGGTATTTTCAGTCACCTCATATACGTGCGAAAGCTGGACAATGAATAAGGAAGACTGAAGAAAAATTGATGCTTTTGAATTGTGGTGCTGGTGAAGAATATTGAATATACCATGGACTGCCAGAAGAACGACTAAATCTGTCTTGGAAGAGGTACAGCCAGAATGCTCCTTAGAAGTGAGGATGGCAAGACTGTCTCATGTACTTTGGACATGGTATCAAGAGGGATCAGTCCGTGGTGAAGGACATCATGCTTGGTAAAGTAGAGGGTCGGTGAAAGAGAGGAAGACCCTCAACCAGATGGATTGACATAGTGGCTGCACCAGTGGGGTCAAGCATAGCAACGATTGTGAGGATGGCACAGGACCAGGCAGTGTTTTGTTCTTTTGTACATGGGGTCGCTCTGAGTCAGAACCAACGCGACGGCACCTAACAACAACAACATGTATCAAAAGCAGCTCCGCTGGCACAATGGTTAAGTGTTTGGCTGCTGAACCAGATGGATGGACATAGTGGCTGCAGCAGTGGGCTCAAACATAGCAACGATTGAGAGAACGGCATTGGACCAGGCAGTGTTTCATTCTTTTGTACATAGGGTCTCTGTGAGTTGGAACTGACTCCATGGCACCTAACAACAACAATCTTTGTGAGATGGGGAGTTCGAACCACCAAATTCTCAGTAACTGAATGCTTAACCATTGTGCCACCAGGGCTGTTAACCTCCATTAATTGCCAGTTGATTGCTCTATTGTTTTTGACAGTGCCCTAGGGCATGAATTGCTCCACAGTCTGATCCAGTTAAATTCAAACTCCTTTGTAGGGGTCGTTTTTGAGGTCAGTCTTTGAGGTTTGTTTTTACCTGGTGAGGGCTCTTCTTAGCTATGCCTTTCCCTGGTTCTCCCTGATAAACTAGCTGACAAATGATTTAACTTGTTGCTCTCATAGAGTTTACCAGTTTCCTCTTGATTGCTGACCACCAGAATCTCCGTTGTTTTAGCGAACACTTTTAAGCTTGAATTTTCCACAGTCTGTTTCAAATAAAGTCAGTTCTTTTAGGGAGAGCTTTAGAGTTCTCTTCTTATGGCCTGTCTCTTCCCCCTGGGCAAAATTTCTGAGCCAGT